CCCCTCCTCTCTCTCCCCCCTCCTCTCACTCCCCCTCTTCCTCTCTGGCTCTTCCAGATATGCCCACTCTCTCGCACAGGTCGACGCCACTGTTTTAAGAGAGACTGTTTTAGATAACCGTAATATCTGTCAATCTCAGCCTCGGACGCCTTGCCAACTGACCGGGGTCGGGTAGGGCGCCCCCGTGAACTTATCAGCTGTGCCGGCGGCCGCACCAGTACCCGCGGGTAGGCTGTGAGCTTCGAGCACGCTGCCGGGCTGTCTCGTCCCACTCCGTCATGGCCCCACGCGTCCCCGTCGTCGTGATCCTGGGCGCCGGGCTCCTGCTGACGCTCATGTTGTGCGAGGACTGCGCCTCCAGCGGCGTCACGGTGCTGCCCGAGAACCGCGAGTTACCTCCCAGTGTACACCACCCGGACGGGCATCCTCTTGGCGTGCACCCTCCCGGTGTTCACCACCCAGACGGACATCTTCTCGGCGTGCACCCTCCCGGTTTACACCACCCGGACGGGCATCCCCTCGGCGTGCAACCTCCCGGTTTACACCACCCGGACGGGCATCCTCTCGGCGTTCACCCTCCGCGTTTACACCACCCGGACGGGCATCCTCTCGGCGTGCACCCTCCCGGTTTACACCACCCCGACGTGCATCCTCGGGGCGTACACCCTGCTGGCACTCATCGCCCCGCCAACGCGCACCCAGGACAAGGCTCAAGCCAAGACTCACCTACTGGTCCGCAACACCAGGGGTGGTCTAAATTCAGTGATAGATTCGATCCAGGTTTGTTTGGGGGCGGGTTTAGACTAGAGACGTCGGAATACATTTTCTTCTGCTGTTTTTTATTTCCTCTGTCTTTCTAAAGCTGTTTTAGAAGAGGTTAGTCTTTTTTTAAGTTTTACTCATGCGGGTCTACAACAAACATGGTGTTTCTTGTGGTGATATTGTCTTACCCGCTACAAGTAACCCTGACTTCATGTGCGTACAGGGTAACCTTCTTCTTCTTTCACAGCTTGGACCTGATGAGAGAGAGAGGCGAGAGGGTAGGGATGGGATCTGCGTGTCTTTTCATCATTCTTATTATTACTTCTGCTTGTTTCTCCTCTGCGCCGCGCTTCGGCCTCGCAGACTGTCAAAACATGATAATTAAATCTCTCGAAACGAGACGCGTTTGTCCGGCTGCTATCTGGGCACCTTCTGCCTGCTCCGGTTCTCGCCAAGGCACTTTCCTGTCGCGAAGGAGCGGCCGACATAATTTTCTTTTCAGAGTGTCGCCTCGTTGTCAGTATTTCAGTTTCTTAAGGCCCGTCACCATTTACTGTGCTAGTCACGATGTAGTGAGCTCATTGCTCACGATGTGTGGCTCACTACATCGTGGTGCTAGTGCAAGTGCACCCACAACATGTGGTTTTAGCGCCCTGAACCTGCACGCGACAAGCACTTGCAGTTTTATTTTGTGTAAACTTTCAACCGGCGTCTAAAGAAATAAAATATTTTTCGTGAAGGGTGGATTGGCCGTTTGAGAAAGCATAAAAGGCGTCCTGAGTTGACTTTGGCTTTCTTTTGTTTACCGGTGTAGCGTTACTTGATTGTTTTTTTTGTTTTTGTTTTTTTGTGTGTTTTTTTTAAACATACTAATCCTCTTCATCTCTTTGCTCTTCTTCCCAGTCTTTGTCTGCCGAGGCCCCCCTCCTCCCACCCCTCTCGCTCACTCACCCGGCCTGTTCTCGTCGTGTCCTGTGATTAGGACTAATTGCTCCGAAATCGCTCCCCAATTCATTAACTTACTCCCAATCCGACTAGCCTTGCGGTTGCTCTCTGACGCGGTGCGTACCCGTACCAGGCCATACTTTTTTTATGTTCTTGGTTGGCGGGTGAATTGGTAAACAGGACACTCGGACAGTTCTGCCGCGGGTATTAATTGTACTTCCCCCGTATTTTTTCACTCCTGCGTGTGGCTCCCCATTTTAATTTTCGCTTGCCGTTCTCACGCTCAGCCTCACCTTTCTCTCTCTCTGCCCCGCAGTGGCCGGCAGTCGCACGTGCGCGCAGTCGGAGTTCCGGTGCGCCAACAGCCGCTGCATCCAGGGCCACTGGCAGTGTGACGGCGAGGCGGACTGCACCGACGGCTCCGACGAGGACCCCGCCGTATGCGGTAAGTATCAGAGAGCAGCACTGGATGGGAATGTAGCCATGGAAAAAAAAAAGATAACCAGCTGTAATAGCTAAATCGGTAGCTAAACGAGGGATGACTAATTATTTTGCTATGTAGCTAAATTTTTAGCTACACACCTACATTTTTACCAAAAGATACACAGCTAACCCAAGTGTACGAATGTCACACACCTGTA